TATCACAAGTTATTCATTGAGCCAGTTTCTGTCAGCTTACTAAGTGCCAAAATATCTCTCCTTCAAGTACTTCCCCAGTCTCCCCTCCAACTTCTGTAAATATTTAGCACAAACTATATCCCTGTGACATGGTCCCCTACTAGTTGTCTTTGGTGCCTCCTATGACAATTGAACAGCATCACAACTATAAGTTTAGAATTCTATGAAATAATTTGCACAGGGAGATACAATCCTTCTAGACAGGGAACTCAGCCTGCACTCTGGTACTTTTAAGGACAAAGTTACCAAAAAATTAAATTCTAATTTCCAAATGTAAGCCATCTTTACAGAACTACTGATAAGCCATACCTCTGTAACTAAATATTTATATAATGGTGTAACTTCATACAAATAACATGTAACTTTAAAACATGTTAAAACACAAACTCTGTGTGCATGTCTTTGGTGCATGTCTCCACTTTTTATGAGGTTTTTTTTTTTTAAACTTTCTCATGTGCCATGGAATCTGGAATGCAAAGCAGAGCTTGCTGCTGGCAGATAGAAAGGAACTGGAAGAGTAATAGAAGCAAAAATGTAGCAGAGATTCAACCTATGCTGGGATAAGAAGTGAATCTTGCAAGACTATAGTTCCTAAGGCTTAATTTTAAAACAAATGTAAACAAAGCCATATTTTATCAATAGGTCAACACATTTAAGAGGATATCTCTATCTACCAACTGAATATGCATGGACAACCTAGGAACTAGAATACCTATGTTCAACAACAGGAATCACCTTCACCTAATACAAACATTGATCTCCAAGACTTTTCCTAATCTTCCTCTGTGAAAGCTGAACTTTTTCCCTTCAGTCACTGTGGTTCTAAAACTTCCAAAATTATATCAGTCTACAAAATTTACTTTACACCTTTATCCTGTCAAATTAGTATAAAAAGACACTATCTAAAAAGGTGTGGGTAAGGAAAAAATGAACATCACTGCCATGCAGATACTTAGAAACTCGAGTTTCACAACAAATCATAGAGTTGACTGTACACAAAACAGAATTCTGTAGTATGACTGGCTACATAGGAGCAATAGACAGCTGACATGAGCAAGGATCTAAGAGAAGAGCTAGAACTTGTTTTAGTTATTGGCATATTCCTTCCTACCCTCCTGTACCCGGAGAATTATGAATTCAAGTGTCCACTTTCTTACTAACATTTAACATGGCACTACAGTCTTACCTTAAGAGACAATGGAATTGCACTACATCTACAAACTTTCACCAGGAAACACAATTCAAAACTGCCATGTAAGAAGGAAGACATAAGAGGATAGAAACACAATCTGCTCCAAAGCTAATTATCTACGGTCTATGTGCAAGGGGAAGAGGCTAAAATATGCAGTCGAGCATGATTCAAGCATGATTCAGGAAGTAAAAGTATCTGAAAAACAGTGGTATATAAATACAATTATCCCATCTCTGTTGTATCAACTGTAATTGTATATGAAACAGCCTCTGTTTATTTTCAAATGTATAACTTTATCTCAGTAGGAAAAGTATAGGAGATGTTCCTAAGAAGAAAAATGTACCATTATTACTACCTTTTTGTTTGTTTGTTTTAAATGAAAACAGAAAAAAAAGTTTTTTCTGTTCTTTCTCTTTTCCTTTAAGGGAAAAATATGGTTAGAAACATAATGCAAAACAATCAGAACAGTCACAATTAATTTCTATATGTATGTGGCATATTTACAATTAACAGGCTTATTTCATTTCCACTACTGAAAATGCAATCCTATTTCACAGATTAACCAACAAGTGTCATCTAAAAGAGCACTGTGCTGCTTCTCTGCATACATATGGCCCAAACTAGTTGGTTTACATGTGTAAGATTACATTTACATGTGTGGATTACATGTAGCAAGCTAAGTTAAGAAAGACTGAGACAAAAACCCCCTCACTTTTCACACACTGATGACTTCCTATAAAGGATGTAGCTAACTAACACTCATAGAATAACTCATTCACAAAAATCATGCCTGGAATAGATAAAACTGGTTCCGATATACATTTCCTTGAAGAAATGTAATTTGCAGGAAGATACCTGGGTTCTCATCCAGTCTTAAGCACCTCAAGAGACAAAAGTTCTTAAGACAGATAACTTAAAGATTTCAATCTCATGCTAAACTACATCTTGCCCATTTTTATATTTTAACAATCTTTTTACTTGCCCATATCTCATCTTTTCTGAGTTCTTCTTCCCTATTTATCCAAAAAGAGAATAGGTTTATCTCCAACATGCACACATCAGATTTCAGACTTCTCTCACTACATCTTCAGTTTGTTTTCCTGTTCTTAATTTTAGCTAATGTCAAGAATTCTAATTCTGGCTAAATGGTTAAAGCTTCTAAAGGCTCTCAGGACAGCTCCCAGAAATCTCACATGTTTCAGCACAGTAACTGACTTACAGGCTCCTGCAGCAGTAGACTAGAACTTGGACAGTAACTTTAAGGGCTAAAATAAACGAGCACCATCCAAGTTGTGTACAGAAAGGAAAATATTCTCCTTTGTGGCATTTCAGACACTTTTTTGCAGTGATCTCCAGCTGGCACAATACTTACACTCGTTTTTTCCCAATATCTTTCATGAAAGGCTCTCATGCACTAGGGTATGTTTCACTGCCAGCAATATTTCTAACAGGAAATGTCTGTCTTAAAGGTCTCAACTTGATTTCCCAGTTCTAGAGCATGAATACCCAAATTAGAACATTAAGTAGTCCTAAATCTGACTGCCAACATCATCTGTAAGTTCCATTGTGCTGAAGTGCTACATAAGTTACTTGACTTTTCCATTTCTCTCAAAGATTATTCAAGAGGCTACCAAGGAAGCATAAGCTAAAGTGAACTCAGTAATAAAAAGTAACAAAACCAGGTATAAGAGACTTTAGTAAAAACAAATATACATTCATAATTTAAAGTTAGTACATAAACATTTGCCAGATCAAGTATCAGATCAGAAATGCACCCAATAAGTGCAGGTTTGGTATTATTTAATTCAAAGCAGACTTTTGTTAATAGCAAATAAGGGTAAGCAAGTGTATCCAAAGAGCGAGTTCCAAGTCATATTACCTCAACTGACTTAAGCTTAAAAAACCCTAAGACCACATAACATGTGGTGTAATTCAGTATACACAGGAGCTCTGAGTCCTTCACACAAGTTATCAGGTTCAGAGCACTGGGGGGAAAAAAAAACTTCACAGGATTTTCAGTTGATATTCAACACAGTATCATCTGTGAAATTAAAAATAAATGTTCGATGAACTTGTATGCAAGTAAGTGCTGTCTCAAATCACAAGACAACCCACTTGCACATTTCAGCTCTTCTTTATTGCATGAACAACAATATCTATGCAGCATCACTCTCTACACACTTACATCAGGCAATTACCCGTAATTTTTTCATGTTCTTTAAAAATAATCCTTGTGTCCAGATTGCTAGCTTATTTTCTATTTTGTTACCACACTGCTACAATTTAACAGTACAATTTTTTTTGCTAAGGACCCTTCATTTCTTTCTAAGTACATAAAGTGATTCCTACTTTACTATCAATATTTTTCCTGTCAATTCTTGGTACAATGGAAGGTTTGAGGAATTATCTTAAAATACAGAATTTATGTCAATATTGAAACAGCAAGCATCTAGCAAGTTCTAGCACAAATATGCAAAAAGGCAGGACAGAGCAAGGGAATTGCTTCCTTCCTCCTATTCTCCCTCATTTAGAAGTGTCCCTGCAAAAACATGCCACCTCTATTGCTGCAGGTTTCCTGGGGTAAATTTACAGAAAAAATAATCACACTATTTTACTTTCACATCAGAGCCTGAGACCTTAATTGCTGTGAATCACGACTTCCTGAACTCGAACAGGACTCATTTGTTCCAGGATAATCCAGCCTCCTGGCCTAGCCAGCAAAAAGTTTCATTAACTTCCCCTCTAATACTCAGTCATGAACAGCACAGTTTGGTCACGCCTGTTAATCTTTTGGTATTGTCTGCAGCACATGAATTGCAGCATGAAACAAAGCTGTCTAAACAGACCACAAAAAGCAGCACCAGAGAATAACCCTTGGGAAGTACAGGAACAGCAGACACACACAAAATACAACCAGACTGTGAGAAAATAAATATAACATGAACCTCAGTGACAGACAGGAGGTGACAAAGCAAGGGGAAGACCAAGCACTCAAACTAGCATGGAACCAAATTTATCTGACTGCTCTCTGCATAATCAGATGAGAGGGCTCTGAAAACATACAGTAGATTCTATAGCAAGACCAAGAACATCTCACTGCTGTCTAGTGACAGCCCCCCCAGGTCAGATGAAAACCAATTCTATAATCCAGGAAAAGATATCAGACTTCCTCAGCTAGAGCAAATAATGACGATGATACTAGATTTTGGAAGTAATAGAAAAAAGAGAAAAACCAAAACATCTCTGTTTCTAAAAAATATTTTCAAGGTATTTGTTGACCCATTTTGGGAGGACAGGAAAAAATTATTATGTTCATATTAAATATAGAAAATGTAAACAAATGGCAGTATACCATGTCTAGTCAGTGAGCAAATGGAGGCAGAAGAACACTATGAAGCACAAAAGCTTCAATGCAAATTGATATTAATTTAATGAAAATCCTGGTCTTCATCAATTTAACAGCATTTTTTAGTCAGAAGAAAATAGACAAAAATTCTGCTTCCTTTAAAGTTTCAATCATTCATTTGTAAAAACAAAAACACAAATCAAAGAACTACAGTGTACTTTCTATTATAAATATTATACAAATTCTCTTACTTCAACTATCAGCCTCTTGCTTGATGAATCAGGCATCAACAAATTTAAAGTTTCAAACCAGGATCCAGGATAACCAGAAGAACATTTATTAAACCTGGACTCCCTCCTCACCAATTACAACAGCTTGTGATTTACTTATATGATCTTTTTCATAAATACAAATTTGGCTTACCTGACGCTGAGTTCATGATGTTCTGCTGCACAGAAGGACTGGTGGGAGCTGTAACATTCATCTGGGAAAGCATGGCCTTCCTAGGATCTTGCCATGTTGTTGTTTGATCAATGTGACTAAGACAAAACAAAGCAAGAGTTAGGACAGTCATGCATTCACAACAACGACCTGCTAGCACAGAAAGTTTAACAACAAAAGGTTAAGCCTGCCAATAACAGCCACATTCAAAACCAAACAAGAACTGTTTGGATTCTCTCCAAGCATCACTGTACATCAGATTCTCAAACCCTTGCCCTGGCTACCACCACTTTCCCAACCAACAGCTGCAGCAATCAGAGCTAGAGCAATGGTGAGATAAGGTTAATCTTGAATACCATAATCTAAACTGTTGTACCATAGCTAGATGTTGCACCGTTAAACTAAACATTTGCTTCCTTCTCTCTTTGATCAGTTATTTGCCATTTTTAAATGTGACTTCATAGATTTTCAAGCCAAGCCAGTTATGTCTGGAATCTCAAAAGCACATAGTCCAGCAGCTCGACATGATGAGTTCATATCCAGGGCCTAGGGAGTGGTAATGAACTGGCTGGTATACAATCATTAGTCTCCCCAAACTTTCTGTGCATAGATCACATCCTCAGATTATCAGACAGACTAGTCCTCTCACCACTGACACCTGAACAAGCTCTCCAGGGCAGTTGAAGCAACCAGTCACACTAAAGCAGTAATGTGAAAGGGATGTGCATCTGCCTTTCAACTTCATGCAAAAAGATGAGGACAGTGGGACTGTCAAGTAACCCACCCATCCCTCTGCAAAACTTTGGAAGCTTAGATTTCTCTGTTTTGAAAAAAATGGCAAGTACATTCATGACTGTTGAATACTTTCACAGAAGTATTCAATTCAATGAAAATACAAAAGTGTAATGAATCATTATTTTACTTTTGGAGTATGTTATTAGCATATTTTGCTAATGAGCAACAAATGCAGTCTATTCAAAATAAGCATCAACACTATCTTGATGCCATTAAGCAACACTGCTCTGAGAAGTACCTGGGGACAAAGATACAACTCCAAATACACATAAACAGCGACAACAAAATCTGCTATCCAACAATTTAAAACTGGTATAAATCACCAATGCATTATTAACTTGGTACCATTCTTTCCTTAAATAAATTATCCTTAAAATTATTCTTTTCTAAATTACATGGAATGCTCACTTTCATATACTGCAGCAAAACCACAAGTAATAAATTCAGAAGAACATAAAATGAGACAGTAGTCACCAAAATAATTACTTATGTCAAATTAGTTATCACATTCTAACCTAACCTTTTGTAACAAGGTAGACATACCATGAACTGGCTTTTAAAAGTTTTAAGATATGTATATTTACCTTCTCTAAACATGCACACAAGCAATTCTAGATCAAAGAATTACAGACACACTGTAGTAGGGTCACGAAGCAGCTCATTTAATACAGTATGTGCTGGTTTTGTCTTGGGTAGAGGTTATTTTCTTCACTATGGCTAGTACCATGGCTATGTTTTGGATGAACCTGGCCTCCCTCTGATCATCACACCAATATATTAAACTGTTTGATGGCTGGGGTTAAACCTCAACAAGGTACTATTAAACACACTGCATCTTTGGTTGCACGGGTTTTCAAATATTCAGCTTCACTGAGAAACATGCCACATACAGCAAGACTTCTTTATTTCTTTTTTAAGCCTATTTATTTATAAAACATGGTGCAACACAGTAAAGACTGTCTTATATATACTGGACTATACATAAACCTTCATACTGGAGAACAATTTTTCACTTTTCTGCTGGTCAGTTTTTCAAAGCAGCGAAAACAGGTAAAGATAATACAGATGTAAAAACACTGCACTGTAATGCTTCACAGACCATGTGTTTAAGTTACTGTACCAGCATGTGCTACTCCTCCCCTACATTTCTGATTTGTTATATTTGCTCAATTCAGTGATTTCAGTGGGAAAACACCACTGTACCCATAATAAGACATTCATCTATTTCCATTTAACTCTTATAAAATTCCATGTAACACTATGAACTAATAAAATGTAAGGCACATAATTTATAGCCTTTGTTTTTAATATGCTATTTGAATGCAGAGTAAGAAACAGAAGGAAAAATGTTTTCTCCCTGCATTAGAGAACCATTTTTACAGTTAACTGTAGGAATGCACTGAAACAACATTCATCAATTTTTCAAAACATATCTGAACATGGGAAAGATGAATGGACTATGGAAGAGGCAATTTTAGATGTACCTCCAGTTCTGAGCACAAGGACAGCATTATTGATTCCTCAAGACAGTTTAAGCATACCACACGAAGTACAGTTAATGTTCATATGGAGCTTTTAACAAGGATAGATATTTTAGGTAGCAGCAGCTTCCAGCTTTTCCCTAGCTCAGCATCGCTTGAGAAAAGTCAGCATGTTCCTTATGTGACCAACTGAACAACCATCAGCAGTCTTAGATCCAAGGAGGAAAAGCCTCAAAGTAAGCAAGCTGATTATATTAATATGATGCTGACCATATGACTGGTTCAGTGAAGCAAACTACTTTCCCTCCCTTTCAGCTCAGTGCTTTAGAACCTACATATCCATTTCCTCAACACCTTCCCTCAAAACCTTTCTTTTCAACCACCATCAAATCACAGTCCTCATATGAATCTTACCTGCTCCATATCCTGAGTGTTTGAATGCTATATACTAAGAAACCACACAAAACACATCACAACAGATCAGTTTTTTTCCCTATAAATTCCAAATAATGCTCAGCAACTGATGAAACACTAAGTAGACAAGCCTGCACTTATATGGATGAAATTTTTAAATAAATCCTAGTACTACATGGAGGAATATAGGACTTAATTTTGTTCCTATTCACAGCACATGGGCCAGGGTAACTTACTATAAACACTGTGTATTTTTAATTATCAAGTTAAGTATTGAAACAGGACATTCTCCATAGGTAAAGATCTTTCCCTCTGTTTTGAACAGCAGAGCAGAAAAGGTCTCAATGGACATAACAAGAACTGACATCAATCAACACTACATTATCTTTCCCTGCATTAAGTAGATTTTTTTCCTCATAGTAGCTGAATTACATGACAACTGTCCAATCCTTACATTCAAGATTTTCTATTTTACTTGAGCTTCACCATCTCTCAATAAGAAACTACTGTCAACACAAAATAAAAGATTAAAAAACTTTAACAAATGATATGAAATCAGTGTAACCTATAAATCAGCCACTATATGTAGTATGAATTATCAAATTAAAACTTAAAATTCTATCTACTCAGGAAGGAAAAACAGCTCTGTACTGTGTGAACAGAACAAAGTGAATAAACATTCCTGGAACTAAATCAACAGCTCTAGCATAATCAAGCAATGTAAGACTTTTATTTCACACAACAAATTCTCAAATCTAACATCTATCTATCTGGAACTATTTATTATTGCTCATTTATGTCACGGAGAAGCAAAACTTTGTTAAACTGGACAAACATAGTGTAAACTAAGGAAATCAATTCAGACTGTACCATAAATGTAGGTCTGTGGTAACAGGCCTTAGAAAAACAAAGCTAAAACACCCACCACATGATAAGCATTTGTTAGCAAACTTATGTCAATTCTAGTATCAAGAAGAGTGACTGTTCCAAGACACATCACCCACCATCCTCCACCAAAAAGGACTTTCACCCATCCTCAAGTTCTACAGTCAAATACAAATTATTTGCATTTTGACAAGAACAATTTCAAAGAAAAGAAAAATGTTCTCATTTTATGTACACAAAGAACAATTCTGCAGTTTTTAAGAATCAGAATTTCCAACTGAAAGAAATCTTTACTGGCACTAAACACTATCACATGCCTGAAGATTTGTCAGATTCAAATTCTAACGTAATTTTAGAGTTTAAGGCTTGGGTTTGTTGTTGTGGTGGTTTGTTTTGTGGGTTTTTTGTGGGTTGCTTTTCTTTGAGGGGGGAGATGCTGAAGATTTTGATGAGTTTTTGTTTGTTTTTGTTTGTTTAAAGTACATTGGAAAAAAGCAGGACATCTAGAGGAAAAAAGAAAAAAATTACTTTTTATTTTAAGAAACCTTTGGATCATAGCAGACTAATAAAATAACACCATTTTAAAAACAAAGAACTCATCTGCCCTTGTACAAAGTGTGATATACCTTCCTATTCATTCTCCAGTTGCTGCACTGAAAAGACATGTACTGTTTTGTTAAAAGCCATGTCAGAAATGAACTAACACAAAAAAGATCCTCAAAGAATTACTTAAATGCTTCAAGAAGGCTTGTCTAAGAGTCTTCAGTTTTGATATTCTGTAGTATGTATTAGAACTACAGTGTCCCCATTGGCAGATACACTTTCTAGCATATGTAGAGAACTTAATTTGTATAACAGAATTCCCAGTCATTACAAAATAATGTCTTTCTTGTCCTTTTTGCCTTTATTAGCATAGCACCTTATGTATGCTACATCATTTGTAACTAGACCTTCCCTCCCACAAAAACAGATCTTCATAGGACAGACATTAACATAAGGAGGTCAGAACTACAAAGCTATTTCACTGAAGCATGCAATAGAAATGTAATGTTAGGAAGAAAAGCAAAAGAGAATGAACAGATATTTTAATTCTCAGTACAAGATGAACATACTGTATGAAATTTCTACAACAGGAAATAAAGAAAAGAGGTTTGATCTACTCATAAAAGAATAGATAAGAATAAATAATCTGTTGCTTCTCAGTGCATTTGGACATGACTCTTCATGAAAGGACATTTCAAAAATTTAGTCTCAAACACACAGATAGACAAGTTGTTCCTAAGTATAAAAGCATAACTCTAAAAAACTACACAAGCTTCTCTCCATAATGTAATGCCTGTGCTTTAACAATCTAGACAAGACTTATATTTTATGTCTGTGAGAAAATTATTTTCAGTCTCAAGTGAACTTGAGATGACTCACTTTAGATTTTGGTTTTCAGATTTTTGGGATTATTAAGAATTCATTGGAAATCACATTTTATGAAAAGCAAAACATGAACACATTCCACTGACCACATCATG